GAAATATAAATGAGTATAATCTGGCAATATGTATCAAAATTTTTAATGCGTTTTCCTTTTGACCCAGCCAATTCACTTCTAGGAAACTCTCATAAGACATATTCATACTAATATGCTGAAAAATGTGTGTAATGGTTCATTCAGGGCCATTTATCATAGCAAAACACTGGAGAAATTTTTTTGGATGGGGTATAATTGAAGACATTTTAAATGTTCATCAATAGGAAACTGATTAAATAAATTAAGGTATATCAATATAATGGAAAATTATGCTATTAAATAAATTAGGTAGATCTATATGTATTGTAATAGAGTTCTAAATGAAAAAAGAAAACTGTGGAACTATGCTTTCATTTGTGCAAGAAAAAGTTACAGTATTTCTTTTCTAGGAGTTATATATAAAACCCCAAATCTGAGACATATTATTCCCTGAACCTAGGTCACTGGATTAATTTTGGTTCTGAGCCCTCACTACACCAGCCCTCATAGTATAGGAGAGTGAAAAAAAGTTGAACCTAAGTTATAGGATCTACAACTACAATGAAGTTCCTGCCCCACCAACAAAGGGGAATATTAGAGGAAAATTTCAGCCCCCTTCCGAAATAGCCAGAGACCTGATACTCACTGGATATCCAAACATAGTGTTGAATTCTTCATTGTTGGCTTGCAGACACCTCTCTTGTTCTAAGAAAGAAGAGAGAAAAGAGAAGGATGCTCCAGATCAGCATGGGATGCTGGCTGCTGGCTGCTAGTGGAGACTTCACTACCCCACACTTTCTTGCTGAGGATATCTGTCTACAAATGGGATTTTGTCTCTTTGGTGAAAGAATCAAGAAAGCTCTGGCCAGTGTGGCTCTGTTAGTTGAGTGCTGTCTCACGCACCAAATCATCGTGGGTTTGATTCCCAGTCAGGACACATATCCAGGTTGTGCTTTCAATCCCCGGTCAGGGTGCATATGGGAGGCAAACAATCGATGTTCCTTTCTCACACTGATGTTTCTCTCTCTCTCTCTCCCTCTCCCTTCCTCTCTATAATCAATAAAAACATATCCTCTGGTGAAGATGAAAAAAATAAATCAAGAAATAAAAATGAAAATCCTCAACAGTTTAACCACTATGCCTCCCATGTGATCTTTCTTCATAGCACTTAATGTAGATATAATTTTATATTTCTCTGTGCTATTAATGTGTTATGACTTAATCAAAGGCTATCCCTCACTAAATCATAATCTCCATAAGAGCAGGGATTCTGTCTAGTTTTTGTTGCCACTGTATTGCCAGCATATAGCACAGTCACTGGCATTCATTTTGTGATCAATAAATATTTGTTGAATAAGTAAATGGGTCTTTATTGATGATTACTACATTCTTCATTTGCCTTGAACTTACTACTCCATAAAGTATTCTGCTCTCTATATGTTATTCTGTTCATAAGAACACACAGGAGAAATTGGACAGTTTGTTTTCCTCAGCCCTTTCTCCTTTAGCAGTTATGAGAATAGGAGAGAACTCCCTGGTTTTCCCTTGGTTGGGAGTTCACTGACTTTCTCTTCCTAGAACTAGGGCCTGTACCCTTGGAATGAACTTCGTATTTCTGGAACTAGGGTCTGTGCCCTTGGAATGGACTTCTTTCTGGAACTTGGGTCTGTGCCCTTAGAATGAGCTCCCTCCAGGAATCAGACAACTGCGCAATGACAGAAAGAAGGTACACTGTGGCCTTAAATCAGTGACCTAATTTCATTCTCTGCACCTTCTCTATTCCTCAAAAGAAAGCTGAAATATAGAACTACATTCTGGCTTGCTTTTTCAAAATTTTATGTCAAAAAAAAAAATTTTTTTTTTCATATCAGGCAGTTTCATTCTGAAAACTGGTTTGGGTGTAATGACCCCAGTTCCCTTTAGTACTTGGCTTTACCAAAGGAAAGCAAGGTAGTATGAAAATATTTCCTAACACCATAGCCAGACCCATTAGCTCTGGCCACAAAAATGCCGCAAAGGATAACCTTATCTTCCTTGGCAACTTCTTTTCACACCAGCCATTTCTTTTTAGCAGGAGGGGATTGTGAAGGATGGAGAGAGGAAAAGGAACACGTGCTTTCACGGTGAACTTCCAAATGAAAGTACAAAAGATGAGAGATTATAAGTACGCCAATTAGAATTCTCAGATGACAGAAAAGTAGAGCCTATACTAGTGACTACAAATAATTTATTTCTGCCCGGCCGGGCGTGGCTCAGCAGTTGAGCGTCGACCTGGGATCCAGGCGATTAGGGTTTGATTCCCGGTCAGGGCACATGCCTAGTTGTGGGCTTGATCAATGACTCTCTCATCATCGATGTTTCTGTCTCTCAGTCTCCTTTCCTCTCTCTGAAATCAATAAAGATATATTTAAAAAAAAAAAAAAAGAATTTATTTCTGCAAAGCATATTTCCTTTCCTGGTCAGCTGTTTGGTTGATTGGTAGGTTGGGCAGTCTGTTTATCTGTTACATGGACACACACTTTTTAAAGGCAATAAAAATGACATACAGACTTAGATATCTCTTACTGAGTTCACCTACCTCCACTCTGTCTTCCCCCATTCTGGCTATCAAATATAGACATTGTAGAATATATAGATATTGCAACTATAATTTGACAGAATTTCTGTAAAAGAAAAAAAGGATTCAGAATGAGAATTTCTCATGTTGATAATATTTCATTTAAACATGGTCTTAAGAAACTTGGAACTTAGTTTCTGACACTGAAAATAATCTAATTCTAAGATACATATGCTAAATTTTAGAATTCATCTCATATGTCCTCAACATAAAGTTATATATTCAAAGCTTGGGAAACAGATTCTAATTCTTGGCAACCAAGTCTAAACTAATGACTACAATCTGTCAGAAAAATTACCGAAAACTTAAAAACAGGTAAAAGAAATTATTAAGTGATCTTTCGGTGCAGTTCTGGGCTTACACCTTTGATTAGTTTTCTTTTTACTGGACTTATACTATAACTCTGTAGGGGAGAGGTTAACTTGTAGATATTTATCCAGTAGAGATACAAATATTTAAGTCTGGTGAAAAAGATAACTCCAAAGGTTATTATTAATGTACTTGAGGACTTTACTAGTTTTGTGTATAATTCAGAAATCTTATCTTAACATTTCTTTATTAAATCGCCTATAAATACTTAGCTCCTAAATTTTCATTTGAACTGGTCTTAACATCTTACTTGATTCCTCATTAATTAATGAGTTTAATAAAATCTTTGACACCTGTTCATGTTTATATGTCATGTTCCTTAACCTTTTAAAAGTTATACTTTATCAAATTCTATGAGTTTGCTGCACAGAAAATCCCTTCTTTCTCTCCATCCTTAACCCAATTCAGAAAAGGCCAATAAAGTATACAGGGTGTCCCCCAAAAATGTATGCACACACTTTGAATAATTATAAATGCAGTGTTGATTAAACATACATTTTATTTTTAAAATTGAGCTATCAGCTATTAAAGTATGTATACATTTTTGGGGGACACTCTATATTTATTTTAGTTAATCGATTTCCTTCAGGTCTCCTGTCACTAAGTACAGATAAACAACACTAGAAAACTTTACAGCCATTTTCATCTTAATCATCCCAAACAAGATTAAATGGGGGGGATAATCTTGAGGGAAGTATAAAGCCTAAGGAAGCCAGCAGATGTTCAACTGTCAGAAAAACAACAACAAAACCCTGGACAACTATGACCACTGGAGAATAAGGTTCCAGTTCTGCCCTCAGTAAGTCCCAAGTGACTTCATTGAGGATACAGGGCATCAAATAATTTCAGGAGCCAAGGAGTTAATAAGAGTTAGGTGTGAAACAGTAGAAAATGAAGTGCTGGTTACTGGGACAAATTGGTGAGTGTATGCCTTCTATAAAAGTATCCAAGTACAAAAAATAAAATAAAATATTGTGCACGCCAAACAAAATTCACTTGTGCTTGTTAGCTACACGTTTTGTACCCCAACCTAAGCTTTTATTTCTTCTGTCAGGAGAATCTGTGATCTACCACCCAATGTTAGCAGCTCTAATATCACCATTTTCTAGTCACCCAGTACTACTCTTAAGCTGCCTATACCTCCACAGTCGGCTTAGGGTTCCTACTGCCGCTGAGAAAGGAGAGCCAAGGATGGGATGTCCTGAAGTTCTGGATTCTCTCCAACCCCTGCAGGGTCATCAAGCAGTTTTGAGAGAATAGTCTGGCCAAATCCACACAGTAGCACAGCTTGGAATGTGAAATTATAAGGCACTTAGCCAGCAGGGGCCTGAGTAATGACTGTTTAGAGGGAACCAGGCACTCACCCAATCTTGTGGCACTCTCTGCAGGCACGTCACATTACATAGCAGCCGACTGGAAAGTACATTTAAGCTGTTAATCTCAAGAGGGATAGAAGAATGTGAGGAAAGGGAGAAAGAGATGGGATATGGGAGGGAAAAGGGAAGAGACAGAGAAAAAATAAAAACAATTAGGAGCTAGAGAACTGAGTTTTATTTCAAAGTCTGCTACTGATAAAGACAATGTGATTTGAGGCTAGTTATTAACTACTTCATGCCTCAAATTTCTTCTAAAAAGAGAATTTTTTTCAAGAAACAGGAATTAAACTAGGTAGATACATGATAAAGACCACTAAGGAATAAATTTTTCAGAGAGAGGTTTAGAGATAATTATGTATTACACCCTAAGAAAAGCATTAGTTTCCATTATGGGGCTGAGAAGAAGAGCTGTGAGAGGATTAAATTAAATAAGGTAGGAAAATGTCTGTCACTTTGCTTGGAACAAAGTAGTCACTCAATAAGTGGCAATGCTTTAAAATTTTAATATACATGCCTGCCAGATTGGTAAAAAATGTAAAGTCTAATAATATTGTTTAAAGTTCAACAGATGTTTGAAAAAAATCTCTAGGGATTTTTTTCTTCTTTAAAAAGGCCTTCCTGGCTTCCCTCTCCTATAATACTTCACGTTCTTCCTTTCCAACCTGGGTGCAGCAGAATGGCTCCTGCAAGGAAGGGTGACATGAAGAAGGGCCGTTCTGCCATCAGTGAGGTAGTGACCAGGGAACACACCATCAACCTTCACAAGCACATCCATGGAGTGGGTTTCAAGAAGCTTGTCCCTTGGGCACTCAAAGAGATCTGGAAATTTGCCATGAAGGAGTTGGTGACTCAAGATGTAGGCATTGACACCAGGCTCAACAAAACTGTCTGGGCCAAAGGAATAAGGAATGTCCCATACCATATCCTGGTGAAGTTGTCCAGAAAATGTAATGCGGATGAAGAATCACCAAACAAGCTCTATACGTTGGTTACCTGTGTACCTGTCACCACTTTCAAAAATCTACAATATGCTTTGTTATTTTAAAAAAGAGTTAATATCTATATATATATTCTAAAATTTGTTCTGCCCTGAATTCAGACAGATCATCTCTGCCTCAGCTGCATTCTTCTGCCTCAAGCTCAGAATAGCTTTTACTAAACAATGCTTTGGCACTATGCCAACAACCTGCATTAAAGGACATTAAAGGAAACCGCCTCAGCCCTAAAAATGTGTTTAGAGAATTACACAGGCTTCCATAAAGACAAAGAGAGCAAGACAAAGATGGGCATAGATCTGCTTGACTATCTCAAGATCTTAACCAGATGATATGTCTGCAAAGGCAGAAATCTGCTGATGCCACCAGGAGACGAGAACAGATTATGAATAAGGCTAAGGAGAACGAAATTCTCTGCGGAAGCACCAGAGTCAAACTGAAACCAGTACCAAGGGGCCTTTCCTTCATAAACTCAAGCACAGACTGTGGATGGCCACCAATGCAGACACTAATAGTATTATTTGGATAAATGCATATAACATCTTACATATACACTAAGTATACGTAAGTTTTTTTAAAAGGTTCAAACTAGCCTGGCCAGTGTGGTTCAGTGGTTGGGCATTGACCTATGATCCAGATCTCAGTTCGATTCCCAGTCAGGGCACATGCCCGAGTTGAGGGCTCGATCCCCAGCAGGGGGTGTGCAGGAAACAGTGGATCAATGACTCTCTCATCATTTATGTTTCTATCTCTCTCTCCCTCTCCCTTCCTCTCTCTGAAATCAATAAATATACATATTTTTTAAGAAGTTCAAACTACATAAGGTATGATGTGAAATTTTTAAAAATTCTCCCTTCTCAATCTCAGGATAATTCTTTCATGTAACCCTCACACTCTTCTATTTAGCTAAAACTCATCCACTCTCCAAAGCTCAGCTTTTAAAATTATAACAACAAATGTAGTTCAAGTGTAATTTATTTTATTTCACTAAACTAAAAACCACCTTCTCTCCTCCTCAAACACACACACAACACAGCCTTTTTAAGTCCCATAGCTTTCTTATTATTTTCCAAATTATTTAAAAGTATGTCCACAAAGAACTATGACAGGTTTTCCCTTTATTGGGGAGAATCCTCCCATACAACAGTCATTTGGTTCGAATTATGAGAAGAGTTCAGTTCTACGCTTTGGTAGAAAGTTCAAGCTTTTGTCAAAATAACCACAGCAGAAACTGACTGAGATTGAGACAAACTGTGATATTAAGGATGTAAATATGTGTATGGTTAGGATTGGAGAAATGAGTTAAGTTAGATCTCTACAGAAAAGGAAATAAAATCAGCAAAACCCTTTCAATCATCTTAGCTTGAGCTCACATGGAAAAAGGAGGGGGGTCAAGAGGAGTGTTCAAATCACGATGTATCTTGCTGTAACATCACTAATCCCAATTAATTCAATTAGCCAGTGGAAGTCTCTGCTGGATTATTCTTACTTCCCCTTGAAAGTGCACAGACGAGAAACCCTCTCTCACCTTTAGATTTTGCTAAAATCACTTCTACCATTGTTATCATAGCAGACTATGGGCTTTCTGTTTTAAACAACTTCAAAATTAAATCACTTACCTGCTTGCCTCAAGTCTTCAGAAAGAACATTCCTCTCACTGTCCTCTAAAAAGAACACTCAAACATTACTCTCAAATGTGAATTAATATTGCCAGTGGTAATAACCACTTTTGATAATAACCTCAAGTTCAACTTTATAACTTTTTTCCTTCACACCTTTACAGCAAAAAATAGTCTTAAGCCACATTCAGAGGGAAGTCAAGCCTGTGTTTTGCATTAAGGAATTTCTTGGAGATCCATAACTGTAAATAGTTTCTTGGTGGGCTTCAGTTCAATTCTTTTATGAATACTCTAAGAGCATAAGTGGTCGATTTCTTGGCTTTGTGAGTAGAACATGGTACAGTATAGTACTAAGCAAATACCATTACTGATTGTTGAACTCTGGGTATCTCAGCAGATATAAGCTGAGCACTTACCTGAAATATAAAGTTTTATGTATTTCATCTCAGAGAAACACCAACCTAAGAATAAAACAAAAACTCCTTGTCAGTTAGTCCAGGTCCTACTGATATACCACCTACCATTTATCAAAATGTACTGTGTGCTGGACACATTAGTATGTGCTTTACATAGATAATCTTGTTTAATTTTCACTAAGACCTGGGCCTAGAAAGAAGGCATTATTCCTTTTTTTTCTACCCACAAATGAAAAACCCAAGGCTTAAGAAGATTAAGTGATTTGCTAGGGATCATACAATCAGAAAGTGGTAGAGTTGCAGTGGTAGAGTTGAATCCCTGCTTGCCTGAATGCTCGACTACTATACTATATCATCTCTTTTATAGTCTTGGGTTTCTAGGGCAATAACTGAGAACTGTGGTCAAATCAGGAGTACAATTTAAAGCCTCACATGCCCAGATGCTCCTCTTCGGTAGATCTGGCACTGAGCTCAGGGGGAAACATACTAATCTGCTGTCCCAACATTTCAGTATCCCTTACTTTTGATCCACAAACTCTTAGAACAATCTTTCCCTATAGTGTGGTCCATGGACCAATTGTTTCAAAGAGACATGAAAAGTCCTTGTGGAAAACACAGACACCTGATCCCCTCCCTGGATGTATGGGATCAGACTCTCTGGGAAGGGTAGCAACAAGAATTTTAGACTACTCATTACCTTAAGGCAAAAAAGCTAGAGTAATCAGAAGGAAGTAACTGGAAAGCTAACCTCTATAATAATCATTCTGACAATGGGTCAGATTGGTGTTAAGAAAAATAAAGAACACAGGTCTTGTGAGGAGGCATAGGATCATAATATTGTTTCAGACCTGTAAAAGATTTTGAAAGTTGTCTATTCCAATGGTTTTCTAACAGTGCTCCATGAAGCATGAGTTCTAAAATGGGACATGAGAAAAAGGGATTGGTAGTTGGAGCTTAATGTCCTAAAACAGCAACCGCAGAAGCTCCATTGGTATGTGTGTTGTAACCTGGATTTTTGTGTAAGATTTTATCTAAATAAATGGTTTTGCTGATTTAAAAAATGCAAAACCTTGGCTGCACATAGGGAATTTTTAAAAAATCTCAAGGCCCAGAATTTTTCCCAGGCCAGTTAAATCAAATTTATGGAAGTGGGTTCCAGGGACCCAGTTGATTCCAATGTGCAGCCAACATTGGGAACCACTGTACCAACCTGATCTCTGCTTCCTCATTTGAGATAAAAGGAGTCTAAGACCCAAAGAAATTTAAAGGAATCAGGACTACAACCAGGATCTCGACTTCTAGTTCACTGTTCTGAGTTATCTCTCCACAATTCAGAATGAACCAATTATTTCTCTAAGGTAGAGGACATCTGAATCAAAATTGTTATGTAATTTCACATTTGCTCTCTAGACTTTTAAAGGATACTTCATATATATTCTCTGAATTCTTATAAAAACACTGAGAAGTAGACAGGGCAAAACTTATTAGATCTGTTTTAGAGATGAGGAAATCAGAGGTCAAGTAAATTAACTCGCAGTGGCTTAGAGGTAAGGTCAGAATTAAAATCTTTAACTTCTGAGTTAAATTTGGCAAGTGTTTATTGAGTACCTTGTATGTATTGTCGTTAAGACATAGTTAAAGAGGCAAAAATAAATATCATCCATGCCCTCAATTAATGTACAATCTTCTTGGAACGTCAGAGACAATTAGAATATTGTACTGCCTGGCTTATCCCTTGGACTAGCAGAAGCAGAAAACCTTCCTCAATTGGCCTTGATGACCAAGATCAATTCTTTCCAAATTCAGTCTGTGGCTTATAGTTTCTTCATGACTATGACAACTGAACCCAAGGGATTTGTATATAGTCACTAAATATCAAGGCCAGGCCATGTAGCTGAAAAAGCCTTGGTGGTGACAGAGAAGAGAGAAGGGTGCAATTTCAGTGAGGTTCATTTCATACTCTCCAAAGCCGAGGATATGACTTAGCAGAAGACTAGGAGATTCCAAAATGAAGAACTGGATGAATACAGAAATCATTATTTCCTTTTCATAGCATTTTAATAAGTGGACAGTTTAGATTTTATGTTGTTGAAGATGACTACTGCATACCAAAAGGGAAAATAACATGCAGGAAATAATATTTGTATCTATAATTCAGAATGGTGGAGAAGGTCACAGATGGACAAGAAATGTTCCAAGACAACTTTCTCATGAATGAATTTATCAGACATTGCAAAACGTTGCCATCCAGATTTTATTATATAAAAGATGACAGAACCAGAAACCCATGCTTTATTTATAGACTGAAAAAATTATCCAGGAATAGCCTAGCACAGTTGTTTTCAAACTTAAGCATGCATCAGAATCACCTGAAAGGCTGGGTCCCACTTCCAGAGTTTCTCATTCTTGTGGTGGGGCCCAAGAATTTACACTTCTTACTAATTCAGGTGATGCTGATGCTGTTGGTTCCAGTCTCATACTTTGAGAACTGCTGGTTTATGCACACCATACACACACACTTGTTGACAACTTAGTTAACTCTATTACTGATTTTGTAATGCTCGCCCCACCAACCTAATGGCCAAAAATAAGACTAAATAAGAAAAAAGTTATGACTAGTAACCTCAGGAGATAATTGATTTAGGAGCACAAATGAATGAATTTGTGAAATGTGTTGGGCAGAGCAACCAAGAGTGTTACAACTAACAAGTAGGAAACAACATTGCTCTTTAAAAGCCTTACCTGTCTTGAGGCAGACATGAATTTTGTTTCTTGTACTCAAGATAACACCCGTTGAAACTCTTTATACCATAAATGTTGTCCAGGGTTCCATCCTCATTCTCCTTTTCTCACTACTCACTTTTTCTGAGTTTTGTTAATCACCCCTATGGCTTCAATTACTATATATATCAGTGGTGGCACCAGGTTAAGAGCTCCTTATCTGCCAATGATTCAAAATCTGTATCTTGAGCCTACATTTTTATCCTGGGCTTCAGTACTACATGTCCAAATGTC